TGGGTTGGAATCCCAGTTTATCTAGTTTTAATAGTAAGTTTCATCTATTATTGACCGAAGTATCAGTCCAGGGAGCTCTTGTTTCCCTTGCTTGCTGGGTTGGAATCCCAGTTTATCTAGTTTTAATAGTACGTTTCATCTATTATTGACTTAAGTATCAGTCCAGGGAGCTCCTGTCTCCCTTTCTTGCTGGGTTGGAATCCCAGTTTATCTACTTTTAATAGTACGTTTCACCTATTATTGACTGAAGTATCAGTCCAGGGATCGAGCTCTTGTCTCCCTTGCTTGCTGGGTTGGAATCCCAGTTTATCTAGTTTCAATAGTAGGTTTTATCTATTATTGACTGAAGTATCACTCCGGGAGCTGCTGTCTCCCTTGCTTGCAGGGTTGGAATCCCAGTTTATCTAGTTTAATAGTAAGTGTCATCTAATATTGACTGAAGTATCAGTCCAGGGAGCTCTTGTCCCCCTTGCTTGCGGGGTTGGAATCCCAGTTTATCAAGTTTTAATAGTGTACGTTTCATCTATTATTGACTGAAGTATCAGTCCAGGGAGCTCCTGTCTCCCTTGCTTCCTGGGTTGGAATCCCAGTTTATCTAGTTTTAATAGTAAGTTTCATCTATTATTGACCGAAGTATCAGTCCAGGGAGCTCTTGTTTCCCTTGCTTGCTGGGTTGGAATCCCAGTTTATCTAGTTTTAATAGTACGTTTCATCTATTATTGACTTAAGTATCAGTCCAGGGAGCTCCTGTCTCCCTTTCTTGCTGGGTTGGAATCCCAGTTTATCTACTTTTAATAGTACGTTTCACCTATTATTGACTGAAGTATCAGTCCAGGGATCGAGCTCTTGTCTCCCTTGCTTGCTGGGTTGGAATCCCAGTTTATCTAGTTTCAATAGTAGGTTTTATCTATTATTGACTGAAGTATCACTCCGGGAGCTGCTGTCTCCCTTGCTTGCAGGGTTGGAATCCCAGTTTATCTAGTTTAATAGTAAGTGTCATCTAATATTGACTGAAGTATCAGTCCAGGGAGCTGCTGTCTCCCTTGCTTGCTGGGTTGGAATCCCAGTTTATCTAGTTTTAATAGTAAGTTTCATCTTCTCCTACTTATTGACTGAAGTATCAGTCCAGGGAGCTCCTGTCTCCCTTGCTTGCTGGGTTGGAATCCCAGTTTATCTACTTTTAATGGTAAGTTTCACCTATTATTGACTGAAGTATCAGTCCAGGGAGCTCTTGTCTCCCTTGCTTCCTGGGTTGGAATCCCAGTTTATCTAGTTTTAATAGTAAGTTTTATCTGTTATTGACTGAAGTATCAGTCCGGGAGCTCCTGTCTCCCTTGCTTGCTGGGTTGGAATCCCAGTTTATCTAGTTTTAATAGTACGTTTCATCTATTATTGACTGAAGTATCAGTCCAGGGAGCTGCTGTCTCCCTTGCTTGCTGGGTTGGAATCTCAGTGTAACTACTTTTAATAGTAAGTTTCATCTATTATTGACTGAAGTATCAGTCCAGGGAGTTCTTGTCTCCCTTGCTTCTTGGGTTGGAATCCCAGTTTATCTAGTTTTAATAGTAAGTTTTATCTGTTATTGACTGAAGTATCAGTCCGGGAGCTCCTGTCTCCCTTGCTTGCAGGGTTGGAATCCCAGTTTATCTACTTTTAATAGTAAGTTTCATCTAATATTGACTGAAGTATCAGTCCAGGGAGCTGCTGTCTCCCTTGCTTGCTGGGTTGGAATCTCAGTGTAACTACTTTTAATAGTAAGTTTCATCTATTATTGACTGAAGTATCAGTCCAGGGAGCTCCTGTCTCCCTTGCTTGCTGGGTTGGAATACCAGTTTATCTAGTTTTAATAGTAAGTTTCATCTATTATTGACTGAAGTATCAGTCCAGGGAGCTCTTGTCTCCCTTGCTTCCTGGGTTGGAATCCCAGTTTATCTAGTTTTAATAGTACGTTTCATCTATTATTGACTTAAGTATCAGTCCAGGGAGCTCCTGTCTCCCTTTCTTGCTGGGTTGGAATCCCAGTTTATCTACTTTTAATAGTAAGTTTCACCTATTATTGACTGAAGTATCAGTCCAGGGATCGAGCTCTTGTCTCCCTTGCTTGCTGGGTTGGAATCCCAGCTTATCTAGTTTCAATAGTAAGTTTTATCTATTATTGACTGAAGTATCACTCCGGCAGCTCCTGTCTCCCTTGCTTGCAGGGTTGGAATCCCAGTTTATCTAGTTTAATAGTAAGTTTCATCTAATATTGACTGAAGTATCAGTCCAGGGAGCTGCTGTCTCCCTTGCTTGCTGGGTTGGAATCCCAGTTTATCTACTTTTAATAGTAAGTTTCATCTAATATTGACTGAAGTATCAGTCCAGGGAGCTGCTGTCTCCCTTGCTTGCTGGGTGGGAATCCCAGTGTAACTACTTTTAATAGTAAGTTTCATCTATTATTGACTGAAGTATCAGTCCGGGAGCTCCTGTCTCCCTTGCTTGCTGGGTTGGAATCCCAGTTTATCTAGTTTTAATAGTAAGTTTCATCTAATATTGACTGAAGTATCAGTCCAGGGAGCTGCTGTCTCCCTTCCTTGTTGGGTGGGAATCCCAGTGTAACTACTTTTAATAGTAAGTTTCATCTATTATTGACTGAAGTATCAGTCCGGGAGCTCCTGTCTCCCTTGCTCGCTGGGTTGGAATCCCAGTTTATCTAGTTTCAATAGTAAGTTTGATCTATTATTGACTGAGGTATCAGTCCAGGGAGCTGCTGTCTCCCTTGCTTCCTGGGTTGGAATCCCAGTTTATCTAGTTTTAATAGTAAGTTTCATCTATTATTGACTGAAGTATCAGTCCAGGGAGCTCCTGTCTCCCTTGCTTGCTGGGCTGGAATCCCAGTTGCGCTAAGTGCATATTACTTTGAAAATCAGTGACAATCTTCTTAGAACAACAACTCTTTCCAAGAAAATCTGAAATTATATCTAAAATAACTGAGATTATTTTTGTTTAAAGAACAACAAAAAAAGGCTTGAAAAAACCTGTTTCGTTACAGAAGCTGAGATATGGCATGACCTAAAGAAAAGGGTGTATGGCCTGTGCAGTATCCGAGACGCACGTGAGTGCAACGGCCATATAAATTGGGGGACCTCCGCTTGCGTCCAGACCGGGACACCTGGGCATGAGCGCTTACAGCAGACTTGTTTCGTGACAGAAGCTGAGATATGGCATGACCCGATGAGCGGTACACCGCTACGGCCCGTGCAGTATCACTCATAAAGCTCTGCACCACTGCAGAATGAGTTGATAAGCACTTGAGTGCAACGGCCGTTTTCTTATCAGGCGCCCAATACATCACCTGTCGGCCAGAGGCGACCACCCAGACCTCGGTGTAACTGATGGCTCAGTACCACTCTCCACGCGTAAGTAGACAAGCTCCCTGTGGAACGCACGAAACCCTCCACCTGGCTTGAGGCCACTGTATTGGCAACAATAGGCCAACTTTGTTTTTGGAATCCCCTTTTACTACTTATGGCTTCCATTTTAAATTTACTGAAAGAATTGCTGCTGCTCGAACAGTATAATACTACTAATAATTAAATGTAAAGATATAATGCACTTCATTTAGGTCTAGAATTAGGGTATTAAAGGTTCAACTACATGCATAATACACTGTACTATCACTACAGGTATTACTTCTCTCCCTTGCTGCATTAGAATCCCAGTTTATCTAGTTTTAATAGTAAGTTTCATCTACCATACACTGAAGTATCAGTCCAGGGAGCTCCTGTCTCCCTTGCTTCCTGGGTTGGAATCCCAGTTCTGTAATTTTAATAGTCAGTTATGACTATGATAGACTGAAGATTCAGTCCAAAGAGCTCCTGTCTCCCTTGCTTGCTGGGTTGGAATCCCAGTTTATCTAATTTTAATAGTAAGTAATAACTATGATAAACTGAAGTTTCACTCCAGGGAGCTCCTCTCTCCCTTGCTTGCTGGGTTGGAATCCCAGTATATTTAAATTTAATAGTAAGTAATAACTATGAGAGACTGAAGTTTCACTCCAGGGAGCTCCTCTCTCCCTTGCTTGCTGGGTTGGAATCCCAGTTTATTTAATTTTATTAGTAAGTAATAACTATGATAGACTGAAGTTTCAGTCCAGGGAGATCCTGTCTCCCTTGCTTGCTGGATTGGAATCCCAGTTTATTTAATTTTAATAGTAAGTAATAACCTGATCCTGTCTCCCTTGCTTGCTGGGTTGCAATCCCAGTTTATTTAATTTTAACAGTAAGTAATAACTATTATAGACTGAAGTACTTCCAGGGAGCTGCTCTCTTCCTTCCTTGCTGGGTTGGAATCCCAGTTTATTCAATTTTAATAGTAAGTAATAACACTATTATAGACTGAAGTATCAGTCCAGGGAGCTCCTGTCTCCCTTGCTGGCCGGGTTGAATACCAGCTTATCTAATTTCAATAGTAACTAATAACTATAATAGACTGAAGTATCAGTCCAGGGAGATCCTGTCTCCCTTGCTTGCTGGGTTGGAATCCCAGTTTATCTAATTTTAATAGTAACTAATAACTATAATAGACTGAAGTATCAGTCCAGGGAGATCCTGTCTCCCTTGCTTGCTGGGTTGGAATCCCAGTTTATCTAATTTTAATTGTACTTTAATAACTATGATACACTGAGATGAGGGAGATCTTCTCTCCGTTGCTTGTTGGGTCTGAATCCCAGTTTATCTAATATTAATAGTAAGTAATAACTATGATAGACTGAAGTATCAGTCCAGGGAGATCCTGTCTCCCTTGCTTGCTGGGTTGGAATCCCAGTTTATCTAATTTTAATAGTAAGTAATGACTATGATAGACTGAAGATTCAGTCCAGGGACATCCTGTCTCCCTTGCTTGCTGGGTTGGAATCCCAGTTTATCTAATTTTAATAGTAAGTAATAACTATGATAGACTGAGATGAAGGAGATCCTCTCTCCGTTGCTTGCTGGGTTCTAATCCCAGTTTATCTAACATTAATAGTAAGTAATAACTATGATAGACTGAAGATTCAGTCCACGGAGCTCCTGTCTCCCTTGCTTGCTGGGTTGGAATCCCAGTTTATCTAATTTTAATATCAGAATTTTTATGTATTCTAATACCTCAAGGAAGATCTTTAGGAGCCATAATTTGTTAAGTCACTAAATAAAGATCGGGATTGGGGTTGTTACAAGCTCCAAGCTCTTACCGTTTTAAGAATATCCTGGTTTAGTTTGGTCAGCACTGAACAATTAATGACTGTACTTCTGTTAGATTGTTATTAAATTGTTACCTACATGAGTGAAGAAGACAAAAAAAAATTAGTTAAAGCATAACAAAATGATGAAGTCAGATATGATTTGTTGAAATACTCTTTATCTGGCAGTCAAAATTTTATTGTGATAGGTTTTTGAAATCAGTGATTACCTGTCACAAGGTAGGTTCCCTAGCCTTCGCTAGTACATATCCCTAACCATGATTGCATTATCTAATTTAAAGCGAGATCCGAAAATTACTGGCACATAATTAAGATTTTTCAAATCATTTTGTTTTGAGGGCCCACACATTTTAAACAACTTTAATATACCTGCTCTTCTCTTAGATTGAGTTATCTAAAAAGAGTAAACAAAACTTACGTGCAGAGCAAAACAAAGTACCCAATAAAAAAGGAAGCTAACTCTCTCTCTCGGCGATTCACGCGTGGCCCTAGTATTTAAACCGTGGCTGCTTATTTGTGTTATTTACTACCTGAAAGTGACTGAAATCCCAAAGAGGGGTGCTCTTGGGGGTTCTTGGTAGGGGTGGGCCCCCCGGTTCTCCAAGTCCTGACCGTTTTTAGACCAAAAAGGTGCAAAAACCACACCCTTTGGGCTGGCACATACCTAGTCGGCTTATATAAGCGGTTTACTCCCCGGGAGAAAATCCATGTATCTTTAAATTTAGCCTGTTCCAAGCGTTCAGATAGTGGAGAGCGGTGCGAAGTAAAGATAGCGATGAAAAGTAGAGGGGGACTGGGGAGAATTCTGTCCATGGGCCTGGGTGCCTTTAAACGCTTCATTTGGTCGAGACACTTTGAAAAGGAAAGAATTGGTTTGGCAGGGTTGATATTAAACCAAAACAGTTCAAAGGCTGGTAAATAAAAATTTGTACGACTCTTGTCAGTAAGCGAAAAGGAATAATGTTGATTTTAGTAAGTGGATGCAGTCTAAGAAGACAGCTTGTCACAATATTATTTCTACTTTCTATTCTCTAACACCCATGCCCCATTTTAGTCTTTTTGCTCATTAGGATAATTAAAGTTCGTATTCATTGTTCAGAAAGCTGCTGCCTCCCAATTCTTTGCTAAGTATGAATAACAGTTGAGCTGGTGTATATTACCTTATATAATCAGACTTTGCATGTTATAGTTCAGGGAGAATGTGTATCCCATTTCTTTGCTGAGTTCAAATCCCAGTTGACCCCTAAGTATATATTATTGTTTAATCAAAGTTTTTATGTAAAAGTTAGAATTTATCATAGGGCATCTAACATAATGCCCTTGCATCCTCATTGTTGCTCTCACAGGTTTAAAACTGGATTATTCCTTTGCATGTTTGAGAGGGGCGGTATTATGTCTTATGCCATTTATCGTGCAGTTTGAATTTTACAGTGTAGTTTGTTTTGACCATGAATTCTTGTATCTTCTACACTGTGTTGCTATCTAGACTGCTTAATGTATATAAATAGAATAAAATTATTTTAATATTGTATTTACCTTCCTTGTTTCTTGTTGGTCAAATCTTTTAAATTGTGCCTCTGATCTCTTGGCGTATATCTCTAGGTGATAAGGAATGACCTTAATCAACTTACGGTCTCATACTTTCAGGAAAATAAAACTGAAGCCCTTGTAATTTCGAAAAGCCTCAAGTTGCCCTAGGATGTCCTAACAGATACCAGACCTGCCAACTCTCACGGTTCTGCCGTGAGTCTCACGATTTTTTGTCATTTCTCACGGTCTCACGACAAGGCTCCTCAATCTCACGGGTTTTGGGAAAAATCATTCTGAAATTATTTAAGTTGTTGAATCAGAATAAAAATGGGAAATTAACGAGGAATGCTTGTGCCATAAAGTGAAAAACTAATAAAGAAGAACACTGTTCTTACTTTTTTGTACCCGGCCCTGATTTTCGCTTGTCTTCAATGAACTTAATCGTTTTCCTTCGTGTCTGTCCGCCATTTTGAAAGGGGAGTAGGCCCTGGGAACGAGGTCTAATTCCCAGGCGTCTCCCATGTTTAGTTTCCCAGTAGTCTTTGTAAGTTCAGCGCGGGAAAGCGATAAATAAATAAATAAACTGTTAATGATATTCCTCGATGGAAAAGGGGTTTGTTTAATCTTGATCGGGAAAAAAATAAAATCTCACTATTTTTTATAGAATCTCCAGATTTTTTTTCATGGGTCTCCAGATTTTCCTTTATCAGGGGTTGGCAGGTCTGAGATACAAATTTTATAGCTCCGCTTAGAATGCACTTCTAGAGATTTAAAAGTACTGTATAGTCTACAAGGTTCTCATTAAGTGCCGGCAGCCGGCTAAAAACTGGCTACTTCGAGTTTTGAGCCGCCTACTTTTTGGGGAACTACAGGAAGGTGCGAAAGATAAAGCCTGAAATCACCGCCTACTTTTACATGCTAGCCATCTACTCGATAAGGAGAATTCTTTCATAATTTCAACGCAGTTAGGAGGAAATCGTCGTTCGGTGCCCCCTGTAAATGTCTGTCCTGGCCTTCTAATTCTATTGACTTCTTTGGTATTTTGGTTTTTATATTGCAGAGTCCTTTCTTGAAATTTTTGTAGGTACTATTAAGCTTAAATTAGGTTTGTACTGCAACAATGACTGACTCTGTGAACGATGGAAGATCCAAACTAAAAGCTCCACGCCGCCATATTGGCCAGGACACTTAGACCCTGGGAAGAGCATTCCTTCGTGGTTATACATACCATAGGTTGCCCACACAATCTGCTTGTTGGTAAATGAGTTTGCTTCGAATTCATCTTTACAGTAAGCTACAGTAGCAATATATAGCCAACTATGTATATAGATTAATGTTAAATAAGCAGTGTACTACCTTACCTAATGTATATTGTTGTCTTTTTGCCTTCAAAAAGGTATTTTCAGCGATTTTGACTGATTTTGAGTTCGCCTGTATGACTGCGTAAAAAGTAAAGACGAAAAGAGTTACCAAATGAGCCATTTTGCAAAGTCTGTAGTCTGAACTTTTGAGTAGTCAGTTCACAAAGTCACTAACAAAAGATGGGGATCGGAGTTGTTACAAATACTTACCGTTTTAAAAATCGTTTGATTTAGTTGGGTCCGCACTTAACAATGAACGACTGTACTTCTGTTAGATTGTTCGCCTACATGAGTGAACAAGACAAAAACAATAGTTAAAGCATAACAAAGAACTCTTTAAAGAAGAAGTCGGAGACGATTTGCTCGAAATACTCTTTATCTGGTAGTCAAAATTTTATCGTAATAGGTTTCTGAAATCAGTGATTACCTAACACAAGCCGTGTTTCCTTAGCTAGTACATAATTCCTAACCCTTTATTGATTATCTAACTCAAAGCGAGGAAATTAGTTGTTGTCTTATGTGTTGGACTGAGAAAGATATATAGTCGTAAATTCATTGAAGTAACTTGTAAGAATTTCAAGGAAAGAGAAAGTTGGTGGTAAGCTTATGGCCGGAGCCGGAGGTGTTGTTACAGCAGGCACTTTACATTTCGTTTTCGGTTCGCACGTTTTTCCCGTGCAGACCTAGCACTTAAACCTTGACCGTTGGCATTATTTACTACTTGAAGAAAATCTCTTGGTGGGGTGCTCCTGGGATTTCTTGGTGGGGGCTCGAGCCGCCCTGTTCTTTAACTCCTGGCCTTATTTCAGACCCAAAAAATGACATTTTACACGCCTTTTTCGGTCCTGGCCTCTGGGCAGAAATTATGTCAAAGAATAAGCAAATATTTCTTTTTCTTTCTTATTCATTAATTTGGAATTGAAACGACAAATACGTTCTTATACGGCGTTTTTTCCCTCGAAAGCCATACCCAATTCCAAACTAAAATGAGCAAAGTGTGTACCCGGTTTTAGACCGAAAAAGGGCAAAAACCATATCCTTTGGAGTGGCGCATATCTATGTGGCTTACAGTGTATTTAAGGGAATATTCCCCGGGAGAGAATCCAATGCAAGTATCTTAAAAATTCCGTCCGCGGGCCTGAGTGCCCTCTAAATGCTTCATTTGTCCGAGACATGTAGCCTGAAATTCATCCGATTGCTTCGAGTCGTTTTCTCCTCTCAACAACTGAGGGAGCAATAACGACTCGAAGTAATCGGATGAAATTCAGGCTACGAGACATGCACTTTGAAAAGGAAAGAATGGATTTGAAGGGATGATACTGAACCAAACAGTACGAAGGTAAATACAAATTTGGACGACTCTCCAACGAAAAGGAAATGATTTTCATTTTAGCAAATGGTTGCAGACTAAGAAGAGAACTTGTCACAATACAATTTCTGCACTTTATTCTCTAACACCCATGTCCCATTTTGCTCTTATGTGTTTAACTTTCAAAAAAACATTGAAGCAATTATATAGGTAACAACAACTTTATGTAAAGCAGTCTATTTGCTCATAGGGATAATGCTAGTAAAACTAATTAGTACATTGCCAAATGTAAAATTGCTCAGGAGCAAATATTGTCCGGAGAAAATCAATCATACTTCAACTCGTTAGCGGCTCTAACATAACTAAGTTACAATGACCTCAGGTATCCTACAAAAAAAGTGACAAGTTTTCTATCACCATATTAAAACCATTTTTTCCCTTCTGTCAGTTTACGATTGTCCTGGTTAAGGTGACTTTTTACTTGGATAGTTACCTCTACAAATCTCTTGCTGTTTTTCTACCATAAAATGAGCTGATAACTCTCTTCGTTACGTTCCTCATCACTCAACCATTCACTGAATGTTACTTCTCAAAACTGAGGGAAAAGAAAAAGGAAAAACATACAACTGTCGATTAAAATAAAACACTCTGAAAGGTTTCAGTTGAGAAACAAGTTCACAGTCTAAATAGTGTGCACTTGGCAGCTCTTTGGCAATTCGTTCAGACAAGAGAAAGGCAAGAGATGTAGCAATAGCTGTAGCACTTACACTTTCAAATCAGTTCCATATTGATTCGCGAGCTGAATGTCTTCACTGTGTTGTTGGTACAGTTCTAATGTTATACCATGCACCTTGCAATAGAGCGAACAGTTTCAGCAGCACTGAGGTATCGTTAAACACAAGCGATCCATGATCGTTCAGGAAAGACTAGCTCGAAACTACGATGCCGTTAGGAAATTTCAAAAATCATTTTGGGGTTATTTGCGCATGGGTGAATATAGATGACTCATTATTCTATTTTGGTTCTCGTAAAACAATACTGAGAATCTAATGTATTGAAAACACCTGTGAAGTATAGTGATTTACATATTTGTTCCTTTTTTTAGCGTAACGGATTGCGATCAGAACTACATGCAAATGATAAACCTTAAGAAACTTCCCGAATTTGGCTATAAATCAAGCTACCAAAAAAAAATACTTGCCAAAATTTTCCTACCCAAAAAAATCCCGAAATCGAAAATTTTAAACCCCAAAAAATCCTTCGATCATCCCTGTCACTTGAAATCTGGAGTACCTCCCCCCCCCCGGAACTCAAGCCACAAAAAGTTCTAACATCTATTAGTTTATACTATGAGCTTGAAGAATAAAGATGGTCCACAAATGTAATTTTAAACTGTAAACGTGTGCTGCGATACTGAACTGCAGATGACAGGTTTAAAGACTGAAAGTTCCTTTCAACAGCGTTTTACAAAATAGAGTATAACACGAAAAGCTTGTAAATCACTCGCCTTCGGATGGTGATTTACAAGCTTTTCCTGTTCTCCCAACTTTCCGCGTGGATTATAACGCCGGTAAACCCATAGAAAGTGTGGTCTATTGGATTTGAATTGGCTGATAAGAAGGTTGCATGAAAGTTGAAGGTCATTTGCTAGTGTGTTCCAGATTCTGATGGTTCTATTAAAAAAAGATATCTGAAAAGTGATAGTATTACATTTTCTTGAAATAAAGTGAGTGACATTACGGTTGCTGTTATTTAGATCTGGTAGTACGAGTAGTGGGGAAGAACAGAGAGACTAACTCTAACTATGCCGGTTACAACTTTGAAAAAGAAAATATGTCTAAAAACTCGTGCCAATAGGAGATTGGTAATAAGTTAAGTTTCGTTCGCCTGTCCCTATATGTTTCAGTCTGGTCACAAATGAATGGTAGATCCAGGATATACTTTGTAGCGCACCTGTGGACACGCTCGAGCTTTCAAATCAGGGCTATTGACTGCGGAGCCCAGACTTGCTTGGCATAGCCAAGATGGGATCTTACTAAGTTAAGGTATGCCGAGCGTCTAACCGTAATGCTTTTGACGAGTGTGGTGTTTCTCCGTGCATATCCCAGGAGCCTGCTGAACTTAGCGCATTGCTCATTGACTTACTTATTCCACGTGCGGTTATCCGTGATGTAAACACCAGGATCTTCTAGGCAGCAGAGACAACTTCAAGATGAGAGCCGGCCATATGAGAGACAAATAAGCAAGTATTTATTATTTCATTTCTCGTACTCAGTAAAAACGAAAATATTATCAATGATTTGTCCGCGGGGACTTTCTGAAAATCTCAAAAATTAATCATCTCAGCAAGAAAAACCAACTTGTCCTAATCGCAAAAATTAGTTCCCGCCATTCTTAAAGACCGTGTTTATGAGTGTGTATACCCTGCGAGTAGAGGTCCTTCGATCTTCCTAGATAAGTCGGGAAGAGGAAGGGACTTATCTAGGAAGATCGAAGGGCTTCTGCTCGCCGGTTAGAGTGTGTATTGCCAGTTAGCTGCAAATTCCATACAAATACACGTGAAAAGAGTGAGGTGTCCCAAAACCTTTGGGCGAAAAATTGTAGGTTCTTGTTAACGGGGGTCTACTGTATTCTATTAGGCTGAGGATAATGTTGAGACCATTCCCTCAATAGAATTGTGCTGTCCCTAAATTTAAGCGTGCTTTGTTATGATGAAAGGAAGAGGTAAAAAAAGATGGGCGAAAATAAAGCGTTTTCTTTGCACGCAATTTCACGAAGCGGTGAAAAACAATTCGCCGGAAAAGAACTTTTAAAACATTTTCCTAAATGAACAAGACATCTTTAAGCGAATGTAGTATATAAAATACTGTTATCTACGTGGTCCTGTAGAAAATAAGTAAATGAATAAAATAAACAACTAAAAGATAAAAAAGATAAAAAGAGGATAAGCTACGTCACTATAAGATAAAATGCTAAAAGACTATAACTATTCCAGTTCTGTTCTGTGGATTTCATGGAATGGAAGTTTTTCCAGGTCTTTTATTTTGTTACCTTAGTTAGGTCTTCAAAGCAACCAAAAATCTAAACGCCTAAAATCCTGTATTTACCAGTTTTACTGTTGTGTTAATTTAAAGATAATTTTTCAAAACACCTGCCATGTTAAATCTTTCTTTCCATGCAAGGACCGCCTTAATCGCTCTCAAAGATCCAAAGTCATTTACACAGCTTGTTGTTGATATTGTAATGATTTTTACATTGTTAAACCTAAGCGACGGCTCCATGATAGCAAGACTGAACACTTCAAGTCCGACAAGAAATGATCACTCTTCAGCTATTGCTGACCATATATATCACTGCCACCGGACATAACATCAAATGGGATCATTTTGAAATCTTAGCATCTGGCAAAACAGATTATCATTGTGAGATAAAAGAACATTGTTCATTCATCAGCAGAGAAAAGTTAAGGCTTTTTTAGCTGTTGCCTTTTGTATTCATTACTGTTAAGAATTTTAAATTCCTAATGTCTTTTCCAGACCCCTTGTAATTTTTGAATATATAGTCTCGTCATTTTCTTTAATGGTCAGTTAAGATCAGTTTTGAAAATGTATGTTAAATAGCATACGACATACACATCATCGCATAAAAATACGAAATCTGTGAAACA